TAAGTGGTATAATAGGCTAGTAAACTCTGATAATACAATTGATTAATTTAGTTTTTAAAATTTAATTTAATGGTAAACATAAAAGTCCACCAGTTTTGTTTAGTGAAAGTTAAATCGTAAATTCGACGGTGTGCAGAATGAACCTGGTAGAGGTGTGGTTATATTAGTGAGGAATTCTCTTATTTCTCTTGTAGACAATATAAATTTCTTGAATGCTCATTTGTATGATAAAGCGGTATGGTGCGAGATCATCATGAAAAGGAAAAATTGACTAATTGGTGTTGTGTAATAGGGCTCCTATTACAAGTCTCGAAAAAATCTTTTAGTGAATTACCTAACCAAGTTGTTTCCTTTCCTCGTGGATGTAATGTTAAATCTCCTTGTATTGCTTTACTAAGATACTATTCCTATTGTAAATGTGTCTTCTCGTGGACATTTGAACAATCCAAACGTATTCTGCTACATTTTGCTTTGTTGTGCAAAAGCAACGGCAAGAAATAATCGCATCCATGAAAAAAGCATATTTTGCCTATTTTGGAGTAAAAATAGGTGATTTGGATAAACCATGGGCGCCACATAAAGTATGTCGCACTTGTGTTGAAGGTTTAAGACTATGGAAATGTGGTAAGAAAAAAGTTATGCCTTTTGGAGTCCCTATGGTATGGCGGAACCTAAAATCACGATGACTGCTTTTTTGCTCGGTGATGATAGAGGGATATAATGCAAAAAAATAAACACGGAATCATTTATCCTAATATTCCAACTGCCATGAGACCAGTGCCACGTGGTCCTGAGGTTCCAGTCCTCATTCCGCCAGATGTGTTGCAGTCCGTGTCATCAGATTCTGACCGTGATTTATCGTCAGGTAATGGAAGTGATGTTTATCAACCTGAAGATATTAGTGATGTATCGGAGGTGTTTACCCAGAGTGAACTTATCGCTCTGGTTAGGGATTTTAATTTACCAAAGGAGTCTGCTGAACTTTTAGGATCTAGGTTGAAATCAAAGAAAATATTGACCAAAGGGACATATTTTTCATGGTATAGGCAACGTGAACAAGAACAATTTAGTTCGATTTTTTCAGAGGAAGGCTCCTTGGTTTATTGTAATAATGTGTCCGTTTTAATTAACTATTTTGGCATTACCTATACAGCTACTGAATGGAGGTTGTTCATTGATTTTTAAAAAACAAGTCTCAAAGGAGTTTTCTTCATAATGGAAATTTATTTTCAACAATTCATGTGGCTCGCTCTGTTCACCTTAATGAAACGTATGAAAATTTGCAGATACTTCTAGAGAAAGTTCATTATAAAGATCATGGTTGGTTGGTTTGTGGAGATTTCAAAGTCAATGCTTTGTTGCTTGGTCAACAGAGTGGATTCACGAAAATGTCACGTTTTTTGTGAGAGTAGGGCAGCAGAGCAAGACGTGAACATTGGGACAAAAAACACTGGCCACCTGGACAAGCTCTTGTGCCAGGTTCAAAAAATATTCTACATGCACTATTGATTGACCCTAAGAAAGTGCTGTTGCCTCCTCTGCATCTTAAATTAAGTTCATGAAACAATTTGTAAAAGCCCTAGAAAAGGAGAGTGATTGTTTCAGGTACATATGCAGGGAATTTCCATCAGTCACCTATGAAAATACTCAAAGCTGGCATTTTCGTGGGCTCTCAAATCTGAAAGTTAAAGTTGAACCACCAATTTGAAGAATAGATGAACCAGTGTGAGAAAGAAGCATGAAATAGTTTCAAGAATGCTGTGTATAGTTTTTTAGGCAATAGAAAAGATCTTAACTATCAAAACATTGTTGAAGGTATGATGGATAACTTTAAAAACATGGGTTGCAATATGAGTGTAAAAGTGCGTTTCTTACATTCTCATCTTGAGTATTTTCCTGAAAATTTAGGTAGTTTAGGTGAAGCGCAAGGTGAAAGATTTCACCAGGACATTAAGGAAATGGAAGAGGTATCAAGGAAGGTGGAATGTGAACATGATGGCAGCAGACTACTGCTGGATGCTGAAGAGAGATTGTGACAGTGAAAAGATTGCAGGAAAATCGAAAAAAAAAGTTTCACCCATCCTAGAAGCCTAATATTATGTTCATACATATTCATATACTGTACATCATTTATTTCTGTATTTCCAGACAAATAGCCTTAATCACAATAATCTTTCGGTTTAGTTAACTTTAAAGCCTACTGAATTGTCATATTTGGATTATCTTGTCATATTTGTATCTTGTATTTGTATATGCACAGTATAAGTTATATTATCTTGTCTTATTGGCAATAACGTGTGACGTGCTAGAGCAAAACAAAGTGTATTTTTTTTTAAATCCTTGATAAAAAACGAATCAGAATCACGTCTCAGTTTTAAGACATCCAACTTTTCTTAAAATGCAGACCGGTGGAAAATCAATCATACACTTGGCCCATACATTATAAATAAACACACCCACACCTTCCTTCCAGCCTGGTATATATGGGGTTCAAAATGCTCAGCATAGGGAGATTTAAATGTTTCACTGAGTCCCAAGGGGTTGTTTACCACTGATAACATCTCAGACGAAGACTTAAAACTACGTAAAATCAATTAAATTCAATTGTTTCGCTATTTTCCATTTCCGCCTATTATATATATAGGGGATCAAAATGCTCAGAATAAGGAGATCTAAATGTTTATAACTTTTGGGCGCGCTATGTCCTAAAGTAATATATATATATATATATATATATATATATATATATATATATATATATATATATATATATATATATATATATATATACTGTATGTGTGTGTGTGTGTGTGCAAGTAAATCACTATAGGTACGCGTGATCCAGGTATATGCTGATAACCACGAGGAAAAAGAAAACACGAAGTTATTTTTCCTTGTGGTGGTTATCAGCATATACAGATATATACAGGTACTGTATATATATATATATATATATATATATATATATATATATATATATATATATATATATATATATATATATATATATATATATATATATATATATATATATATATATATATATATATATATATATATATATATATATATATATATATATATATATATATATATATATATAAGGGTAACACTCACTAAATTGTATTAATATCATCCACACAACATCCTGACCTTAGGGTAAGGCTGACTACGGAGCAACGCCAACCGACCGATGTTCGCCGCTGTCCCAATGAGTCGTACGTCTGGCACTTCATTTTTACCTAACGCTTCACTTTTAACTGCTACAGCGGCGTGACGTGACAGTGGCATATTAGCCCCTGCCCCTGCCAAATTCCATGGTTGTACGAAACTAATATTTTACCGATTATTTTCACCTTTCAATTGATGTCTTCATAATTAACATACATTAAATATTAAGGAAGTTATAACATTTTATGTAACCCCTTCCCATATATCGGCGTAAACAGAACGGTCGCAAAGACATTCAGAGTTTTTAACTAAAACATTTAGGTTAGATTAAGCTAGGCCTACCGGGGGTCCGGGGGCTGAGCCCCCGACTAGGGGTTCGGTTAGATGACTCGTTTTCGTTTTCTTCCCCACCCAAAAACCCCGAATTCCCAGGCTCCCCCCCATTATTATTGTTGGGGTGGGGAGGGGGGGGGGGCAAAAACGAGCAATTTCCGCCAAAGGTTTAGGTCAGATTCGCTTAAAACACACCAAAATAAACTGGAAAAACAATATTGGTCAATCCCTAGGGACTCGTGTCCTAAAGTAAAAATTTACCCAATTCCGAAACTGGCTTGTGCTCGTTATGAGAATCTTTGTCATTAAATTAATCCTGTACTAAATTATTTCCACCGCTAGTTTATTCTCTTGTCATTAAATTAATCCTGTACCAAATTATTTCCACCGCGTTTATTCTCTGCTTAATTCCAAATATGAATTCGTATAGTCTGCCCACCACGTATGCGTATTAGGCTGCCTTATCAATAGTCATTGACGTTTCGCATACGGCTGCCCTACTTTTTTTTTTATGAGGATTAGCCCACCCGGGCACAGCTCACTGACCCACATCGGGGCCCGGGGGGCAAAAATGTAATGATAATAATAATTCATAGTAAATAAAATTTATAATAAAAAGTAAAATATAATATTAATGGTAATAATAATAATGACAACACTATGATGATAATAATAATAATATAATAATAATAATAATAATAATAATAATAATAATAATAATAATAATAATAATAATAACACTATGATAATAATAATATTAAATACAAAGAAATACAAAAATGAAAAAAATTAACAGTGAGAAACGCTATATGTATGTTGTGTTGTCATGCAAGATAAACAATTGAAACCCTGCAATTGTGTGTAAATGAGGCAGAAAGACAGATCAGCAATCTGGGACTTGGTCACAATTTTCGTGATGCCATATGGCAGCAGGGTCTACCATCAGACAACACATTATGCTTCCAATATCTTCCCAGGCGGTAGTACCTCCCTGTTTGGTAGCTGCCTACTACCTACTGTATTATCCAGTGCCTTAAAATTAACAATGATTACTCACGTAATTTGCTCTGGAATCTTCTTGATAGTAATATTGTAAGTGTATCTCACGAACTCAGTAATTGTCTATTGATGTAATTCACTGTAACATAGCACTAACAGTCACTGGGTTGGGAGTATGTTCTAGCGAAGAGATTTAACCCAGAGCTTTAAACCAGGAGTAAACAAACCCATTTTCATTGACTGTACAGTAGTTTGCTCTTCCCCTAGTATCTTTGAAGAACAAAACTTATTCGGCGCACCTTTATAGAGCAATCTATGGTTACGACAATTGATCACAGTTAAACAGAAAATTTCACAAATGTTAGACTGGTCGCGGCCACAAGAGCGTCCTCACGAGTAGACTTCAACAGTTCAACTGATGGACACAAGAACCATAGTACCAGTTTATACAAAAATATATATATATATTTTCTACTTTTTAGTAAGAAAATACAAAATGTGCATATTTTCTTTATTAACACGAGAATAATTTCAGTTCACGGATTAATATATAATTAAGTAATAAAATGCATAAATATTCGACACCAAAGTCAACATCTACAAAAACAAGAGTAATGATTATTGTGAAATGCGTTTTTCTCGCAAAAAAAAATATTAACACGTCCTAAATGCAATTAAGGAGCAGCAAAGTTCGATGATAATTATTAGACCTATTATAATATATTTTAGTCTCTGTAACTTGTCACCAAAAAAAATACAATTAATGGCATCGAATTAAAATATTAACCTCGGGATTAATACTAAATCAAAGGCCCAGAAATGTAGTAAATTAATGAGTGGAAAAACTTACGGTTAATTAAAAAGATTTGCCGAAGTGTATAAAAGACTACTAAAAAAAAAAAAAAAGTAAATTAAGGTTTAATATTGTACGATTACTGTGCTATCGAAAACGGTGCATCAATTTACTATACACATTGGATATTACTCTTATTAAATTTTCTTCAAATTGCTATTAATGTTTTCTAAAATTAAATTAATTACTCTATTATTTCGGACTGTTATCATATATGTCTGTTGCAGTGGCACCATCCTTGTCAGCATTGGGAGGTTGCATTACTGTTTAAACTTGACTCATTGTCACATAATTCGACAACAGTTATTTATTCAGGGAATGACATTGTCTGATTCGCTGATAAGTGGCTAACGAGTCTAGTCAGATTAAAATATGTATATATATATATATATATATATATATATATATATATATATATATATATATATATATATATATATATTCTACCCAACATGAGTCTTGTAGGTGTGGGGTGGCCTTGGCAGTATCATAACCTCAATCCGCCATATTTCAGTGTGTGTGATAATCGTCCGATTAAGCTTTAAAACGAAATTAATTTTTTTTATTGCTACAAATAAAGATAAATTACCCCATATATGGTAAAATGTTTTATGGTTAGATTACATCGTCGCTCACTATTATAGCATAACCAAACTACACCTACAGTATATTAGATTAGGTTATCAGAATAGCAATGGCGTTATTTACAGTTTGTATTATGATCATCTGTATAATCATCCTAACAGACAAGTAGAAAAACACAGAAACTCTCTCTATTATGCAGTTATCCCGATCTAGCCAGATATAATTACATGTACGTGTATATGAATATACATAAGCGAACCAATGCACAGATTGAGAGAGATTTTGGTATGTACAATTCTCACCTCCCATCTCTCTTCTCCCTTGTTTCTTACAGTACATTCGTGATTTAAAACACCAATAAAGTCACTAAATCACGTTGTCACGATGAAACAGTTACCAGACATACTGTAGAGACGAAAGAAACAGGAGATAAGTGCACATTATCAACACTGGGACGACAGCTATGGCCCACAAGTTTACGTTAGGAGACAAGTGTTGGGCTCCGTCGTCAGAACGTGCGTCAAGGGTACTACCTGTAGTGCGTGAGGACCTTTCTACCTGCTGGTATAAAGAGGAGGCTCGTTCTTGAAGTTTATTATCACCGTCTGCTGGAGATGTAGAAACATGTGTGTCCTCATCCTTCTCCTCTGGGTGGATTGAATGTGGCATGTGGGGATAGTGGTCATTTGTTGGAGCTGTCTGACCCCGTGTGTCGTCACTCATCTCAGGTCCCGGGTAATGGTGGTTGCCACCCGTAGGTGCAGTCTCCTTCTGGGCAGTTGTCTTTCCCTCACAGAGAGGGTGAAGCAGGTGGGAATAAGGGCAGCCTGCAAGTGTATCTTCTTTCTCCCCATCTTGAGTGTCATCTAGAGGGACAGTAGATGGCACCCTCGGGTGACCAATACACGGAATGGAATCATCCTCATCGTCGTCATCGTCATCGCTGCTCCCTAACTCCTCATCGTATGCCGGTACCTCCACCTCCCTCGTCCTCTGCAACAAACGAATTATGGTTCCGACACAGCTCGAAAATACACTTGGAGGGTGATCATAATAGATAATTTTTGTTTACGTGAGACTTAAAATATTACAACTCACGAATGAGCAACTTATTTTATTTTAAGACTTTGTATAACTGTCCCACCTCACTTAGTTGGTTACCGTGGAAGAATAATATATTTATCTATAAATAAATGAATCACGAAACAAAGCACTGACAATTATCCTTGGGTCACTGTCTGCAATTATTTATATTTTGACTACCATACTGGATTGTGCAGATGACTCTCTGAACTCAAGTTAATCTCAGTACAAAGATAAAAACCAGAAACGAAATATGGACCATATAACTAAATTTCCATGAGTATTGTCAACTAGTGAAGAAATGTTGAATCGTTTCTATCTTTCTCCCTCCTTGCAGATAACTAGTGAACTTGACCTTACAAAGTACAGGTGACCTACCGGATGGAATCGGATGACTTCTGAAGCAGAAGAACCAGGTTGTATCACATGAAGGAAGGTGTGGCAATCGTCATTGCAGATGAAGAGATCAATGTCATCCTGGCAAAACAAGATCAAGTGAGTCAGTTTCTGGGTCAGACAAGATCACCTGAGTTGATGTAAAAATGATGGTGACCTACGGAAGACTTTGGTGTTCTAACTGTGACTATACTAAGATCATTAGTGTATCCGAGCACCTTATACTTCCAGGATCACAGTTACACAGAACTTCCTACACCTCCTACCACTCACCTCATCCAGCAGAAGGCGCAGAAGGTGTGTGAAGTTGTGCCTGGCGGTTATGTGGAGAGCCGTATCACCTCGCTTCTTGCACTGCAGGTTTACCTGGGCTCCAGCAGCCAACAATTCCCTCACTGCCTCCTCGTCCCCCTCTCTCACTGCCTGGTGGAGGGCTGTGTAGCCTGAAAGAATCCAATGCGAGATTGAGTTCAAGGTGTGTGTGTGTGTGTGTTAGTTTTCATCAGAGTTAGATAATTTCAAAACCATTTTTTTCTCTTCGCAAGTGAGTTTACTTTTAAACATCAGTAGACCTGGCGGCCAGGCTATCACTACACGTGACCACCTGATGGCCAGGCTATCACTACACGGGGCCACCTGGCAGTCAGGTTACCACCACACGAGGCCACCTGACGGCCAGGCTACCATCACACGGGGCCGCGTGACGACCAGGTTACCACCACACAGGGCCACCTGACGACCAGGTTACCACCACACGAGGCCACCTGACGACCAGGTTACCACCACACGGGGCCACCTGACGACCAGGTTACCACCACACGGGGCCACCTGACGACCAGGTTACCACCACACAGGGCCACCTGACGACCAGGTTACCACCACACGGGGCCACCTGACGACCAGGTTACTATCACACTGGGCCACCTGACAGCCAGGTTACCACCACACGGGGCCACCTGACGGCCAGGTTACCACACTGGGCCACCTGACAGCCAGGTTACCACCACACACGGGGCCACCTGACCAGGTTACCACCACACTGGGCCACCTGACAGCCAGGTTACCACCACACTGGGCCACCTGACAGCCAGGTTACCACCACACGGGGCCACCTGACGACCAGGTTACCACCACACTGGGCCACCTGACAGCCAGGTTACCACCACACTGGGCCACCTGACAGCCAGGTTACCACCACACTGGGCCACCTGACAGCCAGGTTACCACCACACTGGGCCACCTGACAGCCAGGTTACCACCACACGGGGCCACCTCCAACAAGTCGTAGTTATGGAGAGCAACAATGTCAGCTTATCCTGATCCCTAAACTCGTCTGAGATCTTGTGACATATCTACACACTAACTCTTAGTTTAAATCCACTGATGTGTGTTGGAGTTATTGCAGGACACGAGGGGGGTGAACGGGAGACAATTTTGGAGTATTTTACTAAGAGAGTGTCAGGTACTTACCATCATTATCATAATCATTCATTCCCAGTTCTCCAACAACTTCACTATCTTTATCCTCATTTTCCACTTCCTCTTCCTCCATCATCCCCTGAAAGCGCTCGATCGTCCCGGCATACTTATAGTAGTTACTAGAGTTTTCATCAACAAAACCCACTGGAATGAAAACACAATATCATTTTCAATATTCATGTCGGTGGAGCCACAGGACATCAAGATATATATGTTCTAGGAAATCTGTGTAACTCAGGATGTCACGTCATTTGTAAAATGTTTTAAGGATTTAGTGTAATCGCTGCAATCGTTACCTTTTGCATGAAATCCCTGAAATTTCAGGAATTTTGTGATATCTTCGATTTTTAGGGTATCTTGGCAACGGAATTTCCTAACTGCTTATTACCGAAAAGGTGACAATGGTGAAGAACTGTAACTAAATTATCAAAGAAAATGGTTAATGACTAGGTTAGGTTTGATTAGCTGACAGCCACAGCGATTACATGAAACCGTTTGCTACAAAGATTCCTTGTATTCACTTACTAAAAATAGGAGAAAAAAAGCAAATCACAGTAAGATATGAGAATGTGTTTGTGGATGTATATCAGAGACAGACAATTTGATGGGGGGAAAGGATCCTGAACGTTCCTGTCTTAAGCAAAACATAGCTGAAGGGGCAGAGAACAGGTGAGCTGGGGTCACGTGAAGGGCGTATAGTGAGGAGTGTGTGAGGGAATAGGAGGGGACAGTGGTGTTGACTGATGTATGTACTGTAGGAGCTGTGTGACAGATTATGAGGGTCTGTTCTAATATATTATGAATCATATTAAAAGCGGAAGAGAGATAGAGAGAAATGTTGGTTAGTAGTGACAACATAAGTCCCAGGAAATACGAAGATAAAGAACAAAAATAAAAGTACTGGGAAGAGAAAATACTACGTGTTCCATGATAAGCGTCGCCACGGATGTTTAATATTTTCACTGGTTGGGAAGTAAATAAGATAACAGTAACAACAAGAGTGATGGAGAGAGGTGAAGGGAGATGCATAATAATCTAGTACACCGGAGAAATAATGACAGGTGTAGATCACTCACCGGGAGAGTCGTATGTGAGGATACTGTCGAGGTCCAGGGGGTAGTGGAGGAACTGGCTGTAATCTGAGGGAGAGAAGTGGAGTATGTAGGTTAGGGGGATGAAGAGGCTGCTGAGGGTGTGGCTAGTGGAAAAAACCACTAGCCACATCCTCACTAGCCACATCCTCAGCAGCCTCTTCATCCCCCTAACCTACATACTCCACTTCGTCTCTCCCTCAGTTAGTAAGGAAGGGTGTAACTCCGGACACCTTGCACAAAAGGCTTGAAAGAATAAAATATAAGTAATAATAATAAATATATTCACTGGTCCTGTCATTACTTCTACAAGATTCAAGCGAGAATATAGAGATAATTTGAACAGTAAAGTAATATGGATCAAATTAGGCCACCTTTATCAACACAATACTGTACATACAATATTTTTTGATGACCTGAATAAAATATTCTCCAAGTCTTATGGCGGCCATGACCAATTCTTGGTCATCCGTTTTTTTTTTAATTAGTTAAGCATTTGGTCTTAATAAAAATTGTCTGGTACAAAACAATCACCGCTGCACCAGCTGTGAAGATCAGTAAAGGCATTTCACTGACATTAGAATTTACGATAATAAGAATGATACATACCAAAGTTGTCAACTTCAGACGTTGTGTCGCTCCCTGATGGTTGTAATTGAACAAAGGTCATGTCGGGTGTATATTCGACGATATGTGATGGTAGTGAGGAAGTAGAGGGACAACTAACTGGTGCTGGTGTTTGTGATGTCGTAGGGTTGTGATTATGCTGGACATATGGCGTGGAACTGAGTACGTTGGTGTGGTTGTGCGGTTGTTGCAGTTGAGAAGAGGAGACATTGGTGTGGCTGTGTGGTTGTTGCAGTGGATAAGAGGAGACGTTGGTGTGGTTGTGTGGTTGATATTGGGGTAAAGATAGACAGTTCTGGTCGTCCTCGGTCACTGACATGGACGAGATATATTTTCTTTTCTTGGACTCTGGAAGGAGAGGGTATTCGATTAACTAGTTTAACATTAAGAATAAACTGGCACCTTCTCGACTGCTAAGACTTTACCACGTGGTGCAAAGGCCATGATTTTCACCTGCTCACTTGTGTTGATCTTTATCATGCCCACATGTATACTTTAGGGAACTACAAGGTCACCCTTTTTTAAACTCACACTCACTATTCACATGCTGGGTTTGAGGTTCAAGTTTCCTTAGTCTCCCTCACCAATACACAGACATACATATACAGTACATTTGCTCTATCTTCTCCATCAGCTCCGATCTACAGTGATGACTCTGGCTCCGTTACTGGCCCCAACCCTTCCACCCTCAAGTTTCGGATCCAAGACTAATTGGGATCTCTCTCTCTCTCTCTCTCTCTCTCTCTCTCTCTCTCTCTCTCTCTCTCTCTCTCTCTCTCTCTCTCTCTCTCTCTCTCTCTCTCTCTCCATGGCCACAATCAGGTACCATCTGCCAGTGTCATGTCGGCTTGTAAACTAAAAATAAGTCCAATGAAGAGGGCACGAGGTAATGAGAATATGACGTAGATCTGAAAACACATGAAAATTAAAAATAAAATAAAATAGATTTCACGTTATATGTTAAGGCTTGTGTTCACTAAAACAGTCCCAGCGACAAACTCACGGGGAGAGGCAGCAGTACACTGAGGGGCGGTAGTGATACATGGGTCGGGGAGGTACTTGAACTCATAAGGCTGGCTGCACTGGCTGTCTGACCGCCGGAACAGATACACCTTTACCAACTTCGGCTTCGCGAGGTTAAGTGTCCGGTAAGGCGGTATCCTAAGGAAGGAAAAAGTCGAGGTATTTTATCTAACATTGCCGGACACACACACACACACACACACATACACACGCACACACACACACACACACATCCCTCAGTGACCTCCACCACCAAGGGCTGGAAAGGTTTGGCAGTGGACTACTGCACCACCCTTGCCATCGCCACCTCCTGCAGCCCCCCACCCAACTCGTGCAGTCCGCCACTACAACAAAATACAGCCCACAAGAGCCCGCACCGATAGATATAAGAACAGCACCATCCCATCTATTGTTAAAATAATAAACAACTCCTGATTTATGTACTGTACAGCCCTGTAAATGTATTCAATGCATATTATATCATTATGTCTAAATCAAACGTAAGTCTGTATATTTTCAGCCACCGGCTGCAATTCTATGAATAAACCGTTTATTATTATTATTATTACACACACACACAATATACCAATGAGCATCATTAAGAAAGTAGCCCACTTATTACTACAAGTACCTGTTCTCCTACACATTTGTAACTCCTCCTTCACTAGTGGTGTCTTTCCGGATAAGCTGAAAATTGCTGAAGTTCACCCAGCATATAAAAAATCTTGGGATAAAGATCTTTTCAAGAATTACCGCCCCATATCAGTCCTCCCAGCCTTAAGTACGATATTGGAGAAGTTAGCTTGTAGTAGACTAAATTCCTTCTGCAGTGTCAATAACATCTTTACACGCTCTCGGTTTGGATTTAGAGCTAAAAGGTCAACGAGAGTGCTCTGCTATCCTTTGCTAATGACATCTTAAACTCCTTTGATGACAGTCAGTTCACAGTCGGTATATTCATGGACCTCTCTAAGGCCTTTGATACTGTCGACCATACCATCCTCCTTTCAAAGCTTGAACATTATCCCACGAATGGTTTACCTCATATCTGTCTAACAGGAAGCAGTATGTCTGCTATAATAATCATCAATCTGACTCCTTACCAATTTTGTATGGCGTTCCTCACAGCTCCATTCTCGGTCCAATACTGTTTTTGTTGTACATTAACGATATAGTCCATTCCAGCACCCTCATAAAATACAACTTATTTGCAGACGATAGAAATCACTATGCCATCAACTCAGACCTCCATTCCTTGCTAAGAACTATGAACACTGAATTGACTAAAGTCAGGACCTGGGTAATACGTAATAAACTGACCTTAAACCTCAAGAAAAAAAAACACTACACGATCTTTCACAAAAGGAAAACCCCCAGATTTGGACCCCCTGTACCTTGTTAAAACCGTTTATTATTATTATTATTATTACACAAATATTCAGTAAAATTGTCATGCAAATTCACAGTGCTTCAGCTTGAGTAAGTACAGTGAAGAGAGAGTACTAGTAGTGACTCACCAACAGACGACTGTGTGCTGGTAGTGACTCACCAACAGACGACTGTGTGCTGGTAGTGACTCACCTACAGACGACTGTGTGCTGGTAGTGACTCACCAACAGACGACTGTGTGCTGGTAGTGACTCACCAACAGACGACTGTGTGCTGGTAGTGACTCACCTACAGACGACTGTGTGCTGGTAGTGACTCACCAACAGACGACTGTGTGCTGGTAGACTGACCACCAACAGACGACTGTGTGCTGGTAGTGACTCACCTACAGACGACTGTGTGCTGGTAGTGACTCACCTACAGACGACTGTGTGCTGGTAGTGACTCACAGACGACTGTGTGCTGACTCAGACGACTGTGTGCTGGTAGTGACTCACCTACAGACGACTGTGTGCTGGTAGTGACTCACCTACAGACGACTGTGTGCTGGTAGTGACTCACCTACAGACGACTGTGTGCTGGTAGTGACTCACCTACAGACGACTGTGTGCTGGTAGTGACTCACCTACAGACGACTGTGTGCTGGTAGTGGACCTCCAGTTGAGAGCAGTTAACACTCCAGCCATCGTCGTCCTCCACCTTCACGTCGATGTCATCTATAACCAGAGTTGTTAAAATGTCAACACCTTTATGATAAACCGGAATTCACGAAATACATCAGTTAAATTACTCAAACTCTTATCCCAGCGTAAAAAGTGCATCACCCAGTCTACTTCCCCTTTTGTTTAACCACCCTAACGCTAACCTAACCTAACCTAACGCTAACCTAACCAAGAACACCTAGCCTAACAAAACCTAATCTAACAAATCCTTACCTAACAGATTCTTCTCTAACATAACAAAACCTAATCTAATCGAACCTAACCTAACCTAACCAAGAACACCTAACCTTACCTAACAAACCACAACCAAATCTGTTCTAACCTAACAAAACAAATCCTAACATAATCTAACGCTAACATAACCAAGAACACTTAATCTAACAAAACAAATCCTAACCTAACCTAACCCCCCCCCCCAGGTAGCGTTAGGCTGATTCATCATCAGGTGAAATAAACGAGAGAGTCTAATCATCAGGTGATCTGTTCCTCTCAATGACCACTATCTTATATTAACCAACTGGTCACTGACCTTGCTTAACCTCGCTTGTGATGAGCCACATTTCCTGACCTCCGCTGACAGAAGAAGTGAAGTCTGAGCGTCGATGGATGCGTAGACGTTCCGCTCTTCCTGGTAGGTGAGTGTTAGGTTAGGTTAGGTTATGTTAGGGTATTGAAGGGTAGGTTGGGTTAGGTTACGTTACGTTACGTCGAACTTTGTTTGAGTCACAATACAAGAGAAACGTCCAGTGTAGAAAGAAGGAAAATGTCACAGGATGAAGAGACGACGTATAAAAGGTCAGATGACTTCCGGAAACTCTCCCTACGCTGCCAAATACTGTTGGAACTCAAGACAAAGCAGCTGGGTGCAGTATTAACACGTTAAACACTGAAGCATTACGCGATAAATGTATTTATACATAAAACAAAAAACAAAACAAAAAAGTTTTCTAATATTATGATCCTCCTCCGTTTGTTTGTTTGTTTGTCTGTGAGATCTATAAAGCGTCGTAGACATAATGAACTACAGTATATCATTATCTTTTCTGCGCACACCCCACCCCCCCTGTTTCTCGTTCATTGTCTTCTTTTTCTCTTTCTTTCATTATGTCTTCTATTTTCTCTCTTTCATTGTCTTTTTTCACACTCTCATTCTTTTTTCTCTTTCATTCTACCTTTTTCTCTCTCTCTTTCATTGTCTTGTTCTCTTATATTGTCTTCTTTTTTTCTCTCTCTCTCTCTCTCTCTCTCTCTCTCTCTCTCTCTCTCAAAAGAAAATACCTGAGGTTGGGTTCCCACTGCCTACAATACCACCATAACAGCTGTCTCTAACATAACACACAACACCAACACAATAGGTACAGTAACTCACTAAGGTTGGTGATCTCGCTGGAGAAAATGGGACCCGCTACTAGGCTGTTATCTTGGTAGGCCGTCACCCGCAGGCACACACTCAGCTTGTTGTATTCCCTGCACAATATATCTGCTTCCTCCGAGGTCTTTGGGCACCGACGTCAACACCGCAGGTTATTTCGGGAGAGAGAGAGAGAGAGAGAGAGTAAATTATGGGACTCGGTAGTTTCGGCCGAACTTAATTTAACCTGATCTAACATGACAATAATCTAACAGTTCTATTCTAGCATAACGTAACCTAACCAAAACTAACATGACTATAGTCTAACCCAGGGGTGGGCAATTATTTTTGATGGAGGGCCACTTCATGAATGGTGGCACACTTCGCGGGCCACCCACTTAATGTAGATGCAAATGTGTTATATTAACACAAAGTAAAGCCTTGTATTTGTAAATACAAATGCAGTGGCGGGCCACAAAAATAATTTGGCGGGCCAAATGTGGCCCGCGGGCCGTACTTTGCCCACCCTCTAACCTAACCTAATCATAAACTTATTGAATCTAACCTAACCTATCCTGACTATAATCTGACAGTTCTAACCGAACCTAACCTAACTTAACCTAATAATAATCTAACCTTACTTAAACCATTACTCTCACCATCAACCATTACTCTCACTATCAAAAGAGGCACCAGTAACTCACCTTGCCCAAAGACCTAAGGTTATCTTTAGTAAGCTTGAAGATGCTGAAATCACGCAACCTGGAAGAGAGCAAATAAATGAAAACTTGAGGTCGTTTACACTTCTCTCGAGAGACTGTATACAGAAAAATATAACAGGAATTAGTATAGTATCACATGAAGATTAGCCTTCCTCCTTCCCGCCACCTGATGATATGAACACCCTAATGCTGCCTGGGGATTGTGTTAAGTTATATTAGGTTAATGTTAGGGCGTTTAATCAGACAAAATAGGTTAGGTTAGGTTAGATAAACTAAGCTGGGGGTGCCTATCTTTATATGATCTTAAGTACAGGATACATATTGGTCATTTCTATTAGTAATGAGTTGCAGATGTTAAGTTCATATAAGCGCTTTCTATAAGGCGCGGCAGGCCAACGCAGTACGAGTGCATGGGAAAACCTAGAAAATTATGCTTACTCACTCGAACATGAAGTCATCTGAGTGGCTAGCACTGACACATTGCGCAAGCAGTGCCTTCGACACGCAGGACGACTCACAGTGCGAGCCATACAAAATGGCATGTTTCTCCCTGTAAGAAGCGCTGGTAGTACACTGGTACTGTACATCCGAGTGTTATGTGACCAACGCAAGTAACACGTGTTGTGGAAAGGGGAGGAGACTAACTATTGAATGTTTATGAAGGCGGAGGAAAACCAGGAATCACAAGGAGGGGAGGAAGGTAATACTTAATAAGGAGAATATCAATAATGTGCTTGTTACAACCAAGGGCACCTGATCGTCCGATCAACGAAGTTAAGTAACAATAATCGGGTTAGTAACTGAAATGATTATCTAATGGCTTCGTCAGCTGTCCCAAGTCAAATCTACTAATTACCAGTTGTTAATATTATTATCCGAGAGAGAAAGAGAGAGGAGGGGACCTACTCGCAGTTGTGGTGGATATTCTCAGGGACGTGCAACACCCACTCCTCTGCCAGGTCATTCAGCTGGTCCTTCTCCTCATAGCCACTCCTGCCGCGGCCCTTCGTCCTCTGGGTTAAGAGATGCAGGAGGGTTTAAAATTTAGATGGTGGTAAATCTTAATCTGAGGTAAAGAGAGAATGGAAGATGTAGGAGAGAAGAGGAATGAGGGTGAACCGGAGGCTGGTTGTGAGGGGGAAGGAAGGTGTGGCTGGGAGATTATTAGCAGCGATAGAGGTGGGAAGGGGGGAGGGGGTGAGGTATGGCAGGGAGAGAAGAAAGAAGGTGAGGGGATGTAACTGGGAATAAAATGAATTTAGAAGTGTGTGTGTGTATGCGTTGGGTGTGATACAAGACGTGAGCGGTTTCTATGGTACGTGTGGGTTAGGCGTGGGTGTTGCTGAGTGAGATATGGGGGTGTGGGCGTACCTGGAGACGGACAACACTGTTTGGGCGTCGTTGGGCGGGGTCGGGGTCCCAGGCGTAGAGCTGCACACGCACCTCAACATTCCCGGAGAAGTTCTTGAGCTGCAGAAAGACGCAAGAATTAGCACGTCATAAAACCCACGTCACACGTGACGAATCACTAGAGCTATACGGACTCTATGTCCCTCTGTTTGTTCTCACACGTACCGCACTGTACATGCTTACCTAATGTAGTTATCTATCTATCTCTGGTTTCTATAAGTGGATGCGCGTGTATATGGATATAAATGCGTGTTGGCGCCACTTATGGATTAAATGGGTATTTAATAATGCTCTTTTCACACGCAGAATATGGTGAAGCGAAAGAGAGAGAGGAAAGGGGTGCCCACCTGGATGGCTGGGTAGCGGAAGGCACTGGTGGCAGCCTTTACATGTCCATGAGAACCTTGGTCTTTCAGGTAGCGGAAGTGGAATTTGGCCGCCGGCTGAGACACGAAACACACCTCTGGTCTCCGAGAAAGATGTTCTTGTTCCAAAGAAATTAAGTCCTCAAACAGCATCGATTCCATTCCAAACATGTTTGAAGATTGACTCGATGTTTGGGCAAATTCCCCATATATATTTGGAGACAGACTTCGTGTTTGATCAAGGCCTCTGTTTGTGTTTGGAGACAAACTCGGTGTTTGACCAAGGCCTCCGCTTGTGTTTGGAGACAGACTCGGTGTTTGATCAAGGCCTCTGTTTGTGTTTGGATGCAAACTCGGTGTTTGACCAAGGCCTCCGCTTGTGTTTGGAGACAGACTCGGTGTTTGACCAAGGCCTGCATCTGTACTTGGTTGGAGGCCCCAGATTTCACCAGAGCCATCAATAGCGTTTGAAGTGTACTGGCAGTTCTGACTCGTGTTTGGAGAAAAATTACACACCGACGTCTGTAGGTGTTCCCCCGGGCTGGGGTCGAGGGTCTTGACCTGGTGGAAGCTCTCCAACAGGATGGTTGACTGGGCCATAATGACGGGCGTGTTGACGGTGGCGGCGGGGTTCACTGCCTGGGGGTGCGACACCACCCTCTGTCTCAAGCTACTGCCCAGCCTCATCCTCCCTGTTAAAATAAGGTAACCAAGCGTTTTACAACTCACTAGTATTTTGGCTGATTAAAGACTTTTAGTGTATTTAACAAGATGGGTGAAGGGTTCCCATTTACCTTTAGCTATTGAACTATTTCTACTTATACATTTAACCCGAATATTTTTTTTATTTCACAATTATAAATAAATCTGGTGATAAAGTGACTTATGTGGCTCATGTTGGCACCTGCTAACTCTGGCACCTCTTAAGCTGTCAGTCATTGTGTTTTTGTAATGTAGTTGTTTTAATGAGTTTTCAAGTAATCATTTTTCACACACTCGCTCTGAATCACAGTAGACTACAGTTAAGAGCATGAATGGTTGTCACTCGTGTTGCCATGTCTGTTAACAATGTTGTAGTGAAAAATTAAAAGTGAAATGAGCGATATTACACCCCATGAATAATTTATCAAATCTGTCTGCATGTCTGAACACCTATAAGGTATGTCCTCAGTGTACTGTGAGCGTGGCCAGAGATACGGTTTACATATCACTGTATAGTCATGATCACCCAGGCTGGTCGGTGAACTGTTTCAGTATGAGCGCCACATACTCTAGGCTACTTCCCTGCTGGGCTCTGTATAGGCTAGCTAATGTTAACCGATTAGACGAAGTGACATAAATATTTAAGATATAAAGTACATGATTGTAACCTTCACAGTGCAGTACTGCCAAAAGATTAATACTGTCCCTAGTAACGTACAGTGTAAAGGAGATACAGTACATCAGATATTAACAATACTGTACATCAGCCACGCGTACACACTATCAACTTAACCAAGAAATTACCCAAAACTAATAACCTTCTTGTAATGTTCACTCTCACGGGAACTTTGGTGAACAAACTTGGTTCAGGTTAACTTGTGTGAGGTGTGGCCAAGACACTACACAAACCCGGCCATGAGCACACCTTGACAGGCCATTGCTGCTGTGTCAAGAGGGCCACAGTGAGTGATTCAGTGAACAGTGTTGGTAAGACTAATCAGCCGTATAAATTCAACTGCTCATCCGTGTAAATACAACCAGTCATCCGTGTATTTTTTTTTTGGGGGTCGTTTGTTTACGGGGATTGGCCCACCCGGGCACAGGTCACTGACCCACGTCGGGGCCCGGGGGGAGAAAATGAAATGATAATAATAATAATAATAATAATAATAATAATAATAATAATAATAATAATAATAATAATAATAATAATAATAATAATAATTATAATAATAATAATAATAATAATAATAATAATAATAATAATAATAATAATAATAAAGAACCATAAAGATAAGATATACAAAAATGAAAAAAAAAGTTCAAGAGTGAGAAACAATATATGTATGTTGTGTTGTCAATGGTAACAGAAACAACTGAGACCCTGCAATTGTGTGTAAATGAGGCAGAAAGTCAGATCAGCAACCTGGGACTTGGTCACAATTTTTGTGGTACCATTTGGCAGCAGGGTCTACCATTAGACAATATATTAAAATAGATTCAATCATCCGTGTAAATTCAATCGATCATTCGTGTAAATACAACTAATCATCCGTGTAAATTCAACCAATCAACCATGTAAATACAACCAATGAACCATGTAAATACAACCAATCAACCGCATAAATACAACCATTCAACAACAATAATAAAAATAATAATAGTAATAATAATAATAATAATAATAATAATAATAATAATAATAATAATAATAATAATAATAGAAAATATCCCATCACTACTATTATTGTTCTGGTATATATTACAACATCAGTACTTCTATTCATTATCAACATCGTAATACAAATAAATTCAGATATATAGACAGGTATAACTTCTTGTACCCTCACACGTGGTTGTAGGCCATCTCCCTGCTGGTGTTGTAGGGGAACACATGGTTGTAAGCCGTATTGCTTGCTCCCTCTTGCTTTCAGCTACAGCCGCTGGCTAGCCCTCGTGGAGAACAGGGAAGCAACTTGCAAAAGTCTTCCGCTATCAGTACACAGCCTCTTCACCATCAAAACTCCTGCTGTGCCTCCTCGTGGCCAACACACGGTAACTAGGTGCCTCGTGGGCCCAGGCTAGACCAGCAGGGGATCTCGCAGTAGCAGTGGGCTCCAGAGGGACGGCGCATAGGCCCACTGGCATGTAGACACGTCCTGGCGCCTACCAACCATTGCCCCGCTGCCTTGCGGATTAACCTTGGTAGGTATAAGGCTATGGGAGTAAACCCCAAACGAAAAATCTGCGGTGGAGCCCCGCATCAGGCAGACACGCTTACAGAGCTCCAACAAGACCCCAACGGCAGTATAGGCAGGAAAGGTGACCACCGTGGGAACCCAACAATTACACCGGCGGATGAAGGCAGTGCATGATGGACAGGCTACTAAGGCGAAACCCAACAAACTGGGCTATTGGCAGTCCACTGCAACTCTCCCTCTCCCCAGTCGTTGCAAAGCTTGCACCACTGGATCAGGAAAAGGGAGAGACAAGATGTGCTGCACTCCTGCCTCACCACATAAATCAACTCATGTGCAATCATCACCCAGCTCATCATACCTCTCATCATCATCAAAACCCCTATACCCCCAAAAGTCCTATGGCGACGGACGAGTGGCGACTGGGACAGGCAGAGATGACTGCCGGGAGTCTCTAATCACAAATCTGCACATGGGCGGCACAGATAAGATCTTCGTTTATGCACTGGGATCTAGGCAGCAGTGCAATTCGGTCCTGTCTGTGCGACTGAGCAGCCCTTTCGAGGAGCCACTCTGCTCACCCCACATGGGGAGGGGGCTACAAAAGCTGCCCTAAACAAAGCCTGTCTAAAAAAAAAAATGATTGGACAAGCGCACCCAGTAAGGTCATCCTTATGCGATCGAAAACACAATCAATATCCCAGATCCAAACAAAAACAAACTCTACAACCTCTTATGGTCCCTGCATGGAATGTAAAGACACCTGGATACTGGCACAAATGAGCGTCCTGAAAAAAGAGCTGCCCTTGTGGCAAAAGAGCTGGCTAGGTATAATATCGACACAGCAGCCATTAGTGAGTCCCTGCTTCCAGACGAGGGTCAACTCCCAGAACGGGGGTCTGGCTATACCTTCTTCTGGAAGGGAAAGCCTGCTGCGAAAAGAAACTGCATTTATGGAGTTGGCTTTGTCATCCACCAAAGCATCCTACACAGGCTAACTGAAATGCCTACTGGGATCAACTAGCGTCTCATGACGCTCCGAGTCTCACTGAATCACTCACGTCATGCCTTTTTCATCAGTGCATATGCCTCAACACTGGATGCAGAGGATGACATCAAGGAGGCCTTTTATGCCGACCTCGACAGAGTGCTAACCTCTATCCCCAGAGAGGATAAGGTTGTGCTCCTTGGTGACTTCAATGCCAGAGTTACCAGAGATGCTGACATTTGGCAAGGAACCATAGGGAGAAATGGACTAAGCAAGTGTAATCCCAACGGCCTACTCCTGTTCAGCAAGTGTGCTGCACACAACCTCACTGTCACCAATACCTTGTTTAGGCAGGTTGACAAGTTCAAGGGTTCTTGGCAACACCCACGATCCATACACTGGCATCTCATTCATTACATCATTGTCAGAGAAAAAGCTCGCCGAGGTGTCCCCATCACCCTTGCCATGCGTGGCTCAGACCAGTGCGACACTGATCATCGGCTCGCCAGAGCCAAGGTCTCACTTCACATCACCCCAAAACGGCAAAGCCAGCAAGCCTCTAGAAGAGTTTTTAACAATGAGCTTCTGGAGGATCCAGCGGTAGCACATACTTTCAGAGAGCAGCTTGAACATGGGCTGATAAACAACCCGACAACAAACAACCAAAATCCCAGTGCCGAATGGGATATTCTCAACATGGTCATGACAAAACTCTGCAGAGAGACCCTCGGCCAGATAGATAGGAATACACCAGGACTGGTTTGATGAAAATGACCTAACATTTCTTACTCGTGCCAGTGCCAATTTAGCTGCCGGGGTGGACATCAAGTACTGGATGAAGGGTCTTTTCAACACAAGATGACTCCAGGAAAGAACAAAGGTGTCGACAGCCTCCATTACTGAACTTCAGTATGCAGACAACCTCACTCTTGTTGCTCACAGGAGATCCTGAACAAGTACGCAGATGCATATGCACACTTCGGCCTTGAGGTGAATTTACGTAAGACTCAGATTCTCTTTCAACCTGCCCCTGGTTCAGACATACCTCGACCATCCATCCATCTTAACAGTACTACCCTCTCTAATGTTACCCACTTTCGGTATCTCGGCTCCCACCTGTCCACTACCGCGGACATCGATGAAGAGATTCATCCCCGGATCAGGGGTACATCTCAAGCCTTTGGCAGACTCCGAAATTGTGTCAAGGCACTTGAAAACTTCCACCAACGTAGTCTACGTTCCATCCTCCAAATTCGTTGGGAAGACAAGAGAACAAATGCCAGTATTCTTGCTGACACCAACTGCAGGAGCATCGAGGCTACCATTATCCATGAACAACTATGCTAGACTGACCATGTTACCTACATGGACGACAGTAGACTGCCAGAGCAACTACTTTACAGTCACCTAACGAATAGTAAACGAAACGCCAGCGGGCAACTGAAAAGGTATAAGGATAGTCTTAAAACAAATCTGAAAAGTGCCAAATCAACCCCCTCACCTGGGAGACGATTACTCCACATCGTAACGCTTGGAGGAGCACCACACGAGAAGGTGTCAATACTTTCGAGTTAGCACAACTGCCAACCGAGGCAGACAAGCGCCAACGCCGGAAAGACGCTGACACCGCCCCTCCCACACTAGATGTAGCCCTCCACATGTGCAACATCTGTGAACAACTCTGCTGGTCCCATATCGGCCTCTTTAGTCACCTCAAAACTCACCAATGAAGGTGACATCCCTCATAACTCATATCATAGTATCATAGCTGGATGATCGTCATACTCGATTCCGAGTGACAACAAATTAGTAGTAGTAGGTGTTGTCGGGGAACATATGGCTGTAGGCCGTCTCCCTGCTGGTGTTGCAGGGGAGCATACGGCTATAGGCCGCCTCCCTGCTGGTGTTGTAGGGGACACGTGGTTGTAAGTCGTCTCCCTGCTGGTGTTGTAGGGGAACACGTGGTTGTAGGCCGTCTCCCCGCTGGTGTTGTAGAACACGTGGTTGTAGGCCGTCTCCCTGCTGGTGTTGTAGGGGAACACGTGGTTGTAGGCCGTCTCCCTGCTGGTGTTGTAGGGGAACACGTGGTTGTAGGCCGTCTCCCTGCTGGTGTTGTAGGGGAACACGTGGTTGTAGGCCGTCTCCCTGCTGGTGTTGTAGGGGAACACGTGGTTGTAGGCCGTCTCACTGGCTGTTTATTTACGATAGGTAGGGCAGCTATCTCCCCTCTGGTCTCTGGTGTCGGAAACAATGACTTGATAACAGCCATACTCACTGTCTCACACCATGTTTAATCACTGTTATTGTTTTTCATTGTTTTTCGTGTTTCTTAGTGGGGGGAAGGGCTGTGTGTGTGTGTGTGTGTGTGTGTGTGTGTGTGTGTGTGTGTGTGTGTGTGTGTGTCCATTTTTACGGTAATAACATGAAACACTCTACTTTAATGACACTGGCAGGACACCGTGGACAGGCGAGGTGCTGTAGAGACAAGTCAGTTCATAACTGATAGTGATAACACCCCGCCGACATAAACACTGATAAATCTATAAGATAAAAAATATATAATTATAATTAAGTGACTCATGTTATGCAGCAGCAAAATGATAGAAGTTAGATCACCCTAAAATTAGGTACCCCAGCTTATTGTACCTGTTGATTAAACACCCTAACGTTACCAGGAGGTAGGTTAGGTTATCGTTTCATTTTTTTCAATTTCAATATTTATTCCTTGGTAGAGGAATCGGGATCCTAGTGCTGTCACTAGGTACCCCTGTACAATAACACCAGAAGCATCTGGCAAGTGTCACAAGTATATATAAATATTATAAAGGTGCCTAAGGGAGAGAGGATATTCCTTCAACACATCATCAGATTATCGTTCGGGTGTTTATTCATCCACGAGACCAAGAGAACCCAGGGAGCGTGTGTGTACACCTCTGCACCTAAATCTGCTAAAGTGGTTGATCATATCCTATAAAGTCTTAAGACGCTATATACTATACATACATGGTCATCTAAAAACACAGCCCAGATCTAAATACCCATCCATTTCAAATACGGACATTATTTATCGGTGATCTTTGTACTGTGACTTTCCTCCCCCACAACCCAGGTCGTCACACGTCGAGGTACAGTAACCAAGCGGGACTTAACCTAGCTGACAGTAGAGATCAAGCGGTACTTAACCTAGCTGACAGTAGAGACCAAATCGGTGTTATCGGAGTCACGGTCGAGTTATACACTACAGTACTCCACGTCTGGTACAGTGACCGTTTCCTCCTTGGATAAACAAGGTGTTGCCGTCGCCTACCTTGATAATCAACAAGGCCATGCTATCACCAATCTAACCTAGTAATTAACCCCCCACAATTACCCCCAAGATAACAGGTACGAGGACGCCCTGAACAACGGGTTGCGTTATCGTTGCTATGTGATAACGTGATAGGTATTTCCTGGCAGATAGCCTCAAGCATCTAAATTCCAATATGCATTTATACTTGGCAAATGTTCTAAATTTCTTAACTTACCTATGAAATCCAAAGGTAACTTCAACTTCCATGTTATATGTCAATTTAAACTTGCAAATTCTCCTAAACTTTTGAACCCATTATACGTTGGCACAAAAAATAAATAAAAAATACATAAATATAAAATAAATCCTACTAACTTACTTTATAGTGAGATAACAGTCAACCAATCTGAAGTGAAAGGCGAGGAAGGACTGTTAACACACTCATCCCATCTGATCATAGTATACAACTGTTACAACATAATGTTAATCTTTTCGTTCTTTATCTAAAATAATGATAGTAAAAACTGTCACAAATCGCAAACATTGATATATACTATACACACACACAAACACACACACACACACACACACACACGTCGATACACACACTTCATAACATGCGCTTACAAACACACACAAACATACACAACCGGACTGACAAATATTAATAAAATAACGACCAAAGTGAGAAAGGGAATAAAAAATTAATTCTAAAAATCTTCTGACTGACCAGACATTTATGTGGATAATTATAATACACAGAAATAAACACCTTGATACAAAACCTAACTTAACCTAACCTAATCCTGCCCAACCTAACCTAACCTACTTTGGTTGGTTCAACAAATGAGAGCTCAAGATGGAGAGCTTTATTTGATTTTCCATATCTTTTATTGACCGTAATTGCTTGCTTTAAATCAGGTAGGCGATAGGGGAATTATAAAGGGATTTAACTGAATGCATTTTTAACGTATTGTAGAATATAGTATGAAGGAGGAATTTGCCACCAATGTTCCATGATGGCGTCCAGATTATATATATATATATATATATATATATATATATATATATATATATATATATATATATATATATATATATATATATATATATATATATATATATATGTGTGTGTGTGTGTGTGTGTGTGTGTGTGTGTGTGTGTGTGGTAATTATTTACGACTTCACAGCCGCTGATTTTTCATAGAAAACGAATTTGAAAACGCTGCATTTCACTGTGTTTTATAGTAGACAATGCCGTAGTTATGGTTAATGTGTTAAAGTGTTTATTTAAAGGTTCAGGTTAAGTTAGCCTAAACTAAACTATGCTTGACCTAACCTAACCTAGCATAACTTAACACCTGCCATGGGCGAACTTACTGTACAGTATGATGTCGTAACCTTAAACATTACTTCTGTCATCCTGCAACCTCCACCCAGGATGTTGTTCATAGATAATGAGTTGGTAATCTACAGTATACGTTTTCTAAGTTAATGCTTATACTAAACAGCTAAAACTTTGTGTGTGTGTGTGTGTGTGTGAGTGCTATCATCAGGTTTTATCAAATCACTTTTGAATGAGTCTCTCTACTATCTTACGCCTTGAATCTTCACTGTCCATTGAACACCTTCACATATAAGACTGCATCTCCGACACCGACTCACAAAAATAGAAGCTGCTAACACATCACTCGGGAAAATCACATAGTCACCGACATTACCGGAAATGGATGCTTTGTCACGTCCCGAGTTTGGACGATATTTTAACAGAAAGAACGTTTATGAGACCAACTTATTGCTGCCAGACTCTCTGGGTTGCGTTAAACTGCTCTCCTCTAATAAAAGTTATGGAAAGTTCTAAGTCTCGTACTTAATATTGGAAGAACAAATACTGATAATGTATACAGCCTTAACAACATCAACCTAGAGAAGTCGACTTGTGAAAGAGACCTAGGGGTACTTGTAAGCCCGGACCTAAGGCCTAGAAAACAGTGCGTTAATGTTCGAAATAAGGCAAACAGAGTATTGGGTTTTATATCTTGAAGTGTAAGTAACAAGAGTGCAGAGGTCTTATTGCAACTATATCTTGCGCTAGTTAGGCCGCATCTCGATTATGCGGTTCAGTTCTGGTGCCCTTATTATAGAATGGATATCAATTCACTAGAGTCGGTGCAGCGAAGAATGACAAAAATGATTCCGGGACTTAGAAACCTTCCATATCAAGATAGGTTAAAGAAACTTAACTTGCATTCCCTAGAAAGACAAAGAGTGCGGGGAGATATGATAGAAGTACTTAAGTGGGTGAAAAGAATCAATAAAGGCGATATAGATAAAGTTCTTATAATATCCCAGCAGGATAGGACTCGGAGCAACGGATTTAAGTTGGATAAGTTTATGTTTAGGAGGGAGACAGGAAGGAACTGGTTCACAAATAAGGTGGTGGATGAGTGTAACAAGCTTAGCAACCTTGTAGTAAGTGCTGGAATGCTGGAAAGTTTCAAAAGGAGGCTAGATAGATTCATGAATGATAGAGAGTGGTAGTAACTCTCGACAGGAGCTGTCATGCACAGGCCAACCGGCCTATTGCAGACTTCTTATTTTCTTACGTTCTTATGTTTATGTTCGAGGAGATTCCTAATGTTCGTAAAATGTGACCAACCGACCTTCTCTCGTTCTGCTCAAATAGTTCACACTGTACATTCTTTGTACAAATCCAACCCTTAAACTATCGCTCAATTTTCCAAACTGTAACAACAATTAAGACTTAGTTGATCATCAGTAGACTTCCCTGGTGGGCTTTCTACTCAGAGTACCGTGATCATATCTGAGGGTTGGCGACCACGGTCCTCCATTTATTATTCCTCGTACAATCAATCTTGTAATCACCAACTTGCACTGGAAAACCTGTGCAACAGTTTGTGAATTTAAAAAAAAAACAGTTCGGTAGCACTCCTTACTTATCTACAATGCCCTTCTTTATTCTCTCTAATTGTTTCTTTTCTTCAGGATCGTCAAGTGCACATACAGTATTTTATTTCCACACTAATATTAATAATTTCGGACTTCTGTAAAACTGTAAACAGTTTCTTACCACACATCAATGATTCTCTCTCAGCGACACAAGCTAGTGAGTTCACTCTTTCATATATATATATATATATATATATATATATATATATATATATATATATATATATATATATATATATATATATATATATATATATATATATATATATACAAATACAGTGTTAGGACAGGCCAGGAATCCAATGCTCTGTTTGTTCATTTGACGGATAACAAGCATTGCATTGACTGGGATAATGCCTCCTCAATATTACCTTGTAATTCAATTGATAGTAGGAACATTATAGAATCTAGTCTTATTAAACATACGGAAGCATTCAACATGAATTTGAGTAATGGCATGTGCAAACTGGACAATTTTGTAATTAGGAAGATTTGTAACCAGGTGAGAAGGTCGGGTCACCTTACTATCTGACCTGACCACCAACCGTTGTGTGCTATTTAAAGATTAGTAGGGTCATTACCTAATACCTGACCAATGTGGACCTGGTCTCACCCTCCTCTGTATATATACACCTTGGTTTGTAGAGAGGGGTCGGGGAAAGTGGGAGTCAAAAAACATGCAGGTCCTGGGAAGTAAAATTAGTTGCTCAGGACAAGGGGTAAAACAGGACCAGGGAAGAGTAGGTTTAAATGTATACTATACAAACAGTCGGGGCAGTTCAAAAGATATCGAAGTCTTTAAACTGCTAAGGGAACATATGGGCACGGGGGTGGAGGAGACTGCAGTGGGAGCGGGTAAACAAAGTGAAAGACTACAGGGAAATAGTGTTAGGAATGATGACAAAACTAAATTAGACAGGGAGTTTAAAACTAAACGCGGTAAGGGGAGGACTCAGAACACGACTAACTTAAATGTATACTACACGAACAGTAGAAGTATGAGAAACAAAATGGATGATATTAGGGCCTTGGTATGTACCGAAAAAATCGATATAATTGCATTCACTGAAACATGGATCAACCTAGACACACGTGAGTTACCAGTCGAATACCAAATTGCGGGTTACAAACTGTTCCATACCGATAGGCAGACCAGGAAAGGAGGCGGAGTAGCAATCTATGTTAGGGATAATCTGAAGTGTGAAATAAATAAGGAAATAAAAACTGAGAGGAATACAGAAACAATTTGGATAGAATTAAGCGACGGTCGGGAAAAATTAATCACAGGAGTAATATATAGACCCCCCAATCTTGATAGCGTCAATGAGCGACTTATCTGGGATGAAATGCCCAGGGCTTCCATACACAACAAAGTCTGTATAGTAGGCGACTTTAACCTTGGCCAAATAGATTGGACTGACCTTACAGGTAACTCAGAATCACAAGATTTTCTCGAGATGATCCAGGACTGTTTCCTAAGTCAACATATAACCGAACCCACACGGGGTAATAATATACTGGACTTAGTTCTGTCGAACAGAGAAAACCTAATTAGCAATGTCGAGGTAGGGAACGAACTTGCAAACAGCGATCACAAAGAAATTCGATTCCAGTTAGATTTTCAGGGCAGACGTAAGGAAAATTCCACTAAAGTACCAGATTTCAGAAGGGCAAACTTTGACAGTTTAAAGAGGCAGCTGAGAGAGGGGGTGTCGCGCTTGGCTGTGAACCTAACTGATGACACGGACCTGATAACGAGATCTGAGATTGCCGAGTTCCACGACAATTTAAATAGTGAGTTACTTAATGCACAAAGGCAGAACATACCATACAAAAAACTCAGATCAGACAACAATGACCCTAAATGGATAAATAATTATTTAAAGAGCATCATTGGCCAAAGGAAGGCTATAAGTAGAAGGATAAATCGTGGCGAAATTCACCTCCGTGACTATTATAGGGTATTGGGGAGTAGGGTTAAAACCGAGATAAGGAAAGCAAAGAGGAATAATGAGGTAAGGATAGCAAGGGAGGCGAAGACAAACCCCAAAG